ACCTCAAATATGTTTATTGCTGTGTCTAAAATGTCAAATTCTTTTCATTGATTCTCAGACAATCGACTTTCTTTGGAGTAAAGAAAGAATGCAGCTCTGATGAACCACTGAAATCGAATGGCCGGATGGCGTCTGTGACTCCGAACAACATTAAATCGGCTGATGTATTCGAGGTCAAACGGAAAAGCGACATCAAACAAGAGCCAGTGTCTGTTGGTGAATTGGTTGACGTTTCGGTATCGACTCATCGTAATACGGTACATGTTCCTAGTTTCGATGAACGTGACGCTGAATACGATTTTGATAAGTTGAGTTTGGACGAAGCTAAGGCCGAGGTGAAGAACGAATGTGACGAAAAGAAAGAAGAGAAGTCGAAGACAAGTACTGACAACGGGAAGCAAGCGATGGTTGACCAACAAGACCGACAGCCGCCTTCACAGAATAGAGAAGATTTACGCACGCCTGAAAGTGACAATGAGGTACACAACACACAGCAACGAGGTGGTAAAGCTCATGGAAACACATCAAAGCCACACAAATGTGAGTTTTGTGAATATTCCGCTCAATATAAGTGCCTTTTGAATCGGCACATGTTGAAACACACTGGCGAGAAGCCACACGGATGCACCCTTTGCCCGAAACGTTTCACAAATAATCGAAGTCTCCGTGCTCATATGAAAGTGCACGTCGAAGAGTATTTGTTCCATTGCTCAGGCTGCTTGCAAGGATTCGATGGAAAGGAAGAGAAGACAGAACACGAAGCTAATTGCAAAGTTGTCCGCTGTGAATGTTATTTGTGCAAGGATTCGTTTGGTTCATTCAAGACACAGATGGTGAAACACATGCGCGTACACAGTGGTGACAAACTGTTCGAATGTAAAGAATGCTTCAAGCAATTTTCAGAGAAAGGAAATCTAAGCAAACACATAGTGCTTCATGCCGGTCCGCGTCCATTCCGCTGTTCAAAGTGTCACGAAAGATGCTCAGATCAAGACGAAAGAGACTCACATGAGGAGAAGTGTAATCGTCGTGTTTACGAATGCTATGTTTGCCGCAAATCAATTGGTTTGAACAAATCTGATTTGATTCGTCATATGCGCACTCACTCTGGTGAAACTCCGTTCCAGTGCGTAGAATGCTCAAAATCATTTTCTCGAATTGATTATCTCAAGAAGCACATGTACAATCATACAACAAAGCTTCCATTCAAGTGTTTGATTTGTCACCGTGGTTTTCTGAAGAACGACAAACGGAAGGCACACCAACGAAACTGCAACGGACGCTACTACGAGTGTTACTTGTGCAAGAAGTTCTTCAGCTCATTCAACTCCAATTTGAAAGGTCATATGTACGAACATTCAGGCGATAAGACGTTCCAATGCAAACTGTGTAAGGGAAAATTCACAGCGAAGTCCAGTCTCACTAGACACATAAATCATATCCATAACAAGAATCGTTGATCATATCGATCGCATTGAATTCATTCTTTATATGAAAAGTTATCAATTCATTTTCCTCAAATTGTCTACAAATTTCTTGCCGTATTGAATTCAAATGATTTGAAGTTAAACTACACAATCATGATTTTCGATTACTTGAGAACTTACATTTGATTTTTTTTTTTCATGAAAAACTTTAGTTTCCTAAAAAACAAATCTGGAATTTCTTTTAGTTCTTCAATGAAATTGTGAAAAAAACTGATAATGAAATAAATAAAGTTGATAAAATCAAATCATGCCCGTTGTAAGTGGTTCGGATTTAATTAAATCCGAAAATTTAATTTTCAACTTTGCGAAAACAGCCAATTTTATGAAGAAAATAAGAAAATTTGTATGGGAGGTACTCGTAAATCGCTTTCGATTGGCTTCAAAATTTCAGAAATTGAGTTTTTTGGTTAAAAAAAATAAGATTCAGAAAGTTTCATGACGTTTGGAATATCACAAATGGGATTTCTATTGGGATTTTACTTTCATGGTTTCATAAAAAACTCATTTGCCAACATGGTTTTGCGTGAAAAATGCTTAAATCCCGCACTTGAAAGTTAAATCTTTAGGACAGTGCTGTCCAACATGGTGGTCACTGGGCCACATGTGGCCACCGAGACAATTTCAGGTGGCCACGAGAAGATTTGATTTTCATGATATATTATATTGAATTTTCAATAATTTAACATGAATTTGATAAACTGAACCGAACAAAGAGGAGCAATAGAAATAAATTCGCTACTGTAAAATTCTCAATAACGCTCTATTTAACATAAACATTTGATAAAAACGGTGCTGTTTTTTCGTTTGTAGCTTCATTTCAATTTTTCATCAAAAGTGTGTAATAAGCAATAATTTTGTATGCGAACATATTTGTTTTGATTGGATTCGGTCGGTGAATCATGTCGAGACTTGTTTATGTAACAATGCTGTCGAGTTCGTCATTCGCTTTCATGTTTACATTAGCTGATTATTGCGTTTAAAAATCAAATCAACGACAAAGATTATACTTTTTTTACAGTGTTAGACACAAACCAATTCAGTGAAGAATTCGAGCTCGGCTACGACACAGACATTTTTATTCAGTATCTCAATATTTTGATTGAAGCATTCGACTCACGATTTTCGGATTTTAAGAAATTTCATGTGGCATTCAAGTTTTTGAAAAATCCATTTGTTTTCAATCAAAATGATATTCAAAATTTGTCTGATCTTTTGAATACAAAGAAAACTCACTTGGAGTTTGATATTTCGCTAATAAATGAAGAAACTCATTTGCCAAATGAAATGAGTGATGCATTGTGGAAGCGATTGCTATTAAATTGTTACTTTTTGGTGTTCAAAGATATTTCACCAACATTTCTTTGTATTTTCGGCTCAACATATGTTTGTGAGAGCACATTTTCCAGCCTTACACGACGCGAAAACAAACTCCGCAATGCATTATCTCAGGAAAATTTGGAATCGGAAATTCATTGCGAACTTCGTGAATCCAAGCCCGATTTAACTAAATTGACCGAAAATAAAAGTTGTCAACGATCTCTTGATGATAAGATAAAGAAACATCAAATGTTTATCGACATTTTTGAGTTTTTTTCTCATTACTTGAAAAAGTGGCCACCGGCTTGATCTCAGGGCCACTATTTTGGCCACAGCAGAAAACAAGTTGGACAGCACTGCTTTAGGATTTAACGAAATTCGGGAAAATCATGATTTCAAGGCCCCATAAGGCTTATCGGGTGTACTCAAAAGGCCAGTTTTTCTTGTTTTAGCCCAAATTTTACGTCCTACCCAATCAGCTTTCATTTTTTGGTTGTTTTCGCAAAGTTGAAAATTAAATTTTCGGATTTAATTAAATCCGAACCACTTACAACGGGCATCAGAGTTGTCATTTCCATATTTAGCGACATCTGGAATAAGTCAAGAGACTGCGTAACTTATTCGCTGAGTGTGGAGAAAGTAGGAAAGTACGACAAAAGAGGTTTGACTGAAACGTCACCACTGACACAAGCTTGTGAATCAAAGTTGCACTCAC